GCGCGCCTCCGTCCTTCGCCCTCTCGGCGAAGGTCAGAATACGCCGCGGTCTGCCGCGGCAGTGGATCCAGGTAGGGTCGCGCGAAGCCAGCCTCCTTCTTCGAAATCTCTGCGCTTTGACTGATAAGCCCCCGCACGACATCAGGACCATCGCGGCACAACAGCTGGCCCAGGGGCGCCGGGGCGCCGCCCGCCGCCGGCAGCGACGCGAGATCGCGCGCGAAGAGAGCCACCGCGACGGGTTCGCCGTTAGAGTAGCCCGCGCCGACCTGGAGCTCCCGGAGGGCCACCTCGGTCGACAAGTCGGGAGGAATGGAGCCCATCGCCGCGCAGCTATCGGCGAGCAGCTCCAAGCACAGCTGTCGCATCATTGCGGGCTCCAGACCAGCGCGCCGCGGCGGGCCATCAGAGCCAGCATCCAGCTGATTGAGCACCCCCACGAGCTCTGAGACGAGCTCGCCCTGCAGCGACCCGCTGGCGCGCCGGCGCCGCGCCGCGCGGCCACCGCCGCCACACGCGGCCACAGCCGCGCGGCACCAGTCGGGGACTGGGGGGGGCAGGAGCGACCGCTGAAGGTGATCGCCGCCCCTGCCCTCAGCCTCTGTTGATTGGCCCCGGGCCGAGGCAATCCTGGGGGCGGCCCCAGCATCGCGACTTCGCGGGAGGAGCACACTTTCCGCCATCAGCGGCCTTCTGCTCCTCCCTCAGCTTCCGCGCGTTCTTCTTGATGCTGTGGACCCTCTCCAGCTCCTTCGACACCGTATCCAGCAGCTCCAGGCACACTATCGAGAGCGACCGTGAGCCCCCCCCTGAACGCGAAAGCCTCCTCCAAAGGCATGCGCATGTTGTGCTGCTTCTGCTGTTGCTCGGCGTTCCAGTCGTCCCAGTAGTGCTCAATCACCTGGAGTTTGCGGTAGCCGATCTCGGAGCTCGCGATATTGAAGACATCCATGTGGTCGCTGGATCCCATCAGCTCGAGCATATTTGAGATCGCCTCGTGGATGTCGACCCCGAAGTCGGGCATGTCCCGCTTGCGCTTCGAATTCATCGCATGATGGAGGACCGGGCCTCCCTCCTTCACCTGGTACTTCAAACACCACTGCGCCATCCTGGGCGGGGCGATGCCGAACCCAGGCGCGACCTCCTCCGTGCAGAGCGAGACCAGCGCCACTCGCGGGAGCTGCCCCCAGGCTGACCAACACCAGGCGGGATCTCCAGCGCACGAGCGTCGCCCCCCCGATACTCCTGCACAAACCACGCGATCTCGCTGTCCTGCAGCAGCACAGCGCTGGCCCCCGCCCCCCCTGCGAGCGCCAGGAGCCCACGGCGGCCCACGCGGCCCACCAGGGTGGCGCCTCCGGGCACTCCGACGGCCACCTTGCCGATTACAGTACGCGCCGACGACCACCGCGCCGTCTATGCACCGAACGTCACCGCGCCGTCGACGTCCTCCGCCGCGACCCAGTGCCATCCAGCGGCAAGCTCCCCACTCGGCAGGGGCGGCACGGCGGGCGCGTCGGGCACCGCGGGGGCCCGCATCGGCGCAGCGGGAAGCAGCGGCCGGCGGAGGCGCAGCAGCTGCGGGCACCAACGCGGCGGCCGCGGGCGCCGCGGCGGCCGCGGCCAGCGGCCCCGCCAGCAGCGCCGAAGGAGCCGCCGCACCGTCAGCGGCCGCCGGCGGGGCGGCAGCGGGCAGCGGGGGCACTCCCACCGCCGGGGCCGCGAGCGACACCGTACCAGCAGGCAGCCCAACGCAGTTGACCGCCGACACCGCCATCTCGAAGGGCGAAGGCGGCAGCGGCCCGTACCCTTGCGCAGCACCACGGCGAAGAGCATTCCAGACCTCTTGGGCGGTCGGCAGGCGGTGAAAACTGTATACGCGATTCGCTGGTATGCCTCCGGCCGTGCCGCCCTGCCCGTGCAGAAATGGACCTCCTGCAGATCCGCACCGGGCGCCACCGACTCCCCGCAGTCGTCGAATTCGGGTGTCAGCACGTAGCCTGACTGGAACAGGTCCAGCCTCTCGTGGTACAGCGCGGGCCCTGCCACTCGATAGCGCGTGAAATGGAAGCCCCCGGCCGTCGCCATCTCCAATGCCGGCTGTCCAGCGCCGGCCTCCGACGAAAGGCCCTCGCCTGCTCCATGGGGCGCACATGGACATACTAATACTATATGTCCTCCTTGGAGGCGCGCGTCCGACCCGAACATATAGTATACCCATCTTGTAGTATATCGTTTCCCGAGCGGTGTGGCTTGGAAGCGCCCGCCACGACGCATATACTATAAGATTTCTCGGTGCGCGCGTCGCCCCTGGGGGGGCGACGCACATGTAGTATAAGTATGTTTGGGTGTTGCCGACTCCAGGGCGAACGCCGCGACATCTGCACCCCCGGCGAGCTCCTCGCCCTCCACCGGCGGCGCCGCCGCGCGGGAGGCCCCGCCCGGCGCGCGCCGCCCGGGCGAGGCCTGCCGCGCCCGGCGCGCTGCCCGCGAGCAAGGCCAGCGCCGCGACCCAGGCCAACTGCGTGCTCGAGCAGCCCGAGCCCGATGATGGGCCTGTTTTCCACCACCACAACCATAAGTTGGAGTGGGGGGTCCTCCTCCTCCTCCTCCTCCTCCTCCCTCCTCCTCCTCCTCCTCCTTCCCCCCTCCAACTTATGGTGGTGGTGGTGGAAAACAGGCCCATCACCCGAGGCAGCCGTCAGCGAGCCCTCCCCGCCAGGGCACGCGCACTGCAAGGCGGGGCAGTGCAGGGTCGGACTGCACCAGCAGTCCGGACACTCAGGCACCGCAGCGCGCACGACGGAGGCGGTGGTCAGAGCCTGCCCCGCGTCGTGCAGCAGCCGCAGGAGCCCGGCCTCCATCCCCCGCAAGGCCTCAGCGCGAAAGGGGGGCCTGAAACGACAGCGGATCAGGACTCCTCTGGAATGGCGGCCTCTCGTGATGTGGACTCTGGCAATCAACAACAAAGTAGTGAGCAGGAGGAGGAGGAGGAGGAGGAGAAGGAAATCGCTGGGAATTCGCGCTGGTAACCACGCTGGGAGGAGGACGAGGAGGAATAGGAGGAGGACAAGGCCTCCTCCTCCTCCTCCTCCTCCACCTCCTCCTCCTCCTCCTCCTCCTTTCCCTCCACCTCAATTTTTCTCCGCTACAGTGCCAAATCCTTCCCTCTCCCTGCTCGTCTCTTCTCCGATCTTATTTCTCCACTCCTTTCCTCACCCTTTCGCGTTCCCTCTTCCTCCACAGGGAAGAATGAGCAGCGGCATCAGCAGGAAAGTCGAAAACAGGAGAAAGCAGAGGAAAGAGTGAACAGAAAGGAATGGAGTGGCAGAAGAGGCTGAGGCAGAGGAGGAAGAGAAGCATGAAGACAAATGCTGCTCTGATGATGACGGATGACGGGGAACGCGAGGAACGTGAAGAAGAAATCGAAGAGGTAATCCGCCGACCCCCGCTTGCCGGGGTGAAGAGGCGCGCAAGACATTTGGCAGTCCTCCTCCCCCCAAGAGGGTCCCAAGACTGGCCAAGAGGCCCCCAAGAAGCCCGCAGAGGGCGAAATCGCAAGGGTCCTGGGAACCTCCCCCACAATGTGGCCCCAAGACGTCCAGCATGCTCCCAAAATGCCCCCAAGAGACCTCCAAGATCAGGGAGACGTAAGACTCGTGTGCGGGGGATTCGGGTTGGCCTGACGGGACAATCTTAAAAATGACGAGGCCTAATCTAAAATGTGACGCGAACTCCCGCTGCAAACATCCCACGAAGATTGCACCGTCAAAATCCAGGACGTGCTCGTCGAACAGCACCGGCAAACCCGAGTTCTGGCTTGCTCGAGTCTCGCGTGCCCCCGATTCAAGAGATCCCCTGAAGCGCTCGGGCGTCCCCAAAAAACACCTGGAGAGCAGTAACAAGACGCCCAAGAGGCAGCCATCGAGCCCTCCCAGACGCCGAGGAAGAAGGAACCAACGCGAAACAACGACTACACGCCAAACAGCACGAGGGGAAGCGGCAAACAACGTATACGGCCCAAGGTGGCCTTCACGCGGCCCATCTCGGCCTAAACACGGCTCTCAAGAGGCCCCTGATGCGCTCCACGTTGCTCCAAGAGGATATCCAGACAACCCTCACGAAAACGGACAAACACCTGTTCGCTTATGCTTCAATTAATGTTAGGGTCCCTGCCATACCGGCTTCTGACGTCTCATACGACACTCAGGGCTACAGTCAACCAGTATAGTAAGGATGCGAGGTAAGGATGCAAGGGCCTTGGACGCCCATTTCGAAGCTTTTCGAGCGGGGGGCGGCCAGCGAAAGCGGCCAAGGATTGGCCGAGGAGGCAAGGATGCAAGGGTAACCTTGGGAAGGTTGCCCATCCTAAATATGCGGGTTGACTGTACCTACATGACTTCCCGCTGGACCACGCGGCCCTCAAGAGGCCCCCAAGTACACCCCAATGAGGTCTAAGGTCGTCTTCCTCCAGATCCACCCACTGCGGCCTCCAAGACGCTCGAGGCGCCCTATGAGGTGACTCGAGCATGACTCAAGAGGGCCAGAGAGGCCTCCAGAACATCCACGATGGCCCTGGACGGCCCACAAAAAACCTGGAAGACGCCCACAGAGGGCCCATGAGGAACCACACGACGGCCTCGAGAGTCACAGAACACATGTTGATAAATGTTCCCCTATGACTCACGTTCTTGTTTCCCCCCTCTCCTGCTCCTCCTCCCCCTTTCTCTCTCGCGTAATTCCCTGCTTGTTTCGCCGCGATCTGCAACCATCACTGAGGCTTCTACCTGCGTCGAGCGACCGCCTTGACTTCTGATTTCTTCTCGGGCTCGGCAGACTGGCATAAGTAGAAGGAGGAAGGTGAGGCTCAACTGAAATAAAGGGATAAAGATGAGAGGAGAAAACGAACGTAGTAGGTAAGGAGGAGGACGAGAAACGAGGAGACGAGGGGAACGAGGGGACAGTAGGGAGAAATAAAGAGAGGAGATACAGAGATAAAGGTAGCGAATCTGTCACAAAGAACCCCTATCGCAGTCTCCTAGTCCTACGACGCTGCGTGCTCAAACAACACTGTCTTGCACGCGAAAGGCACCCTGAGCGTAGCCTCCCGGCGCCAATGGAGCATTGTCACTTCGCCAGCGGCGCCCGCCAACTTTGGCGTGGCGCTCCCACGCGCAACGAAACGAGGATTGAGAGGGGCAGGCGGAGGCGGAGGAGGCTGGGGCTCGACCGCACTATGCCCCATGACCACACGACGCACAACAACGAGGACGGGGGCAGCGAGAGGAGGAGGCGAAAGAAGCAGCGGAAACCCATGCCACAAGCCCTACACCTGGCAAAATGCTTAAGAAATCATGGGTTAAGAAATTCATAGTCTCAGAACTTGCATAAAAAAAACCCACAATTTCTATTAAATCTTAGGATGCACGTTGAAACATTAAGAATAATCGAGATTCTGGCCGAACATTTAAGTTTTCTTAAGCATCGCCTAAGGTGTATGGGCCCATGTGGTTTGGGCGCTTCCTCTTCCAGCACGCTTTTGACCCTCCTTCGGGGAGGGGCTCGTCACGCCCCCTGCCCCACGCCGGAAGACTCCCCCCCCGCCCAGCTCCTGACGGGCCTCTTGGGCCAGCTTAGGGGCCCCTCAGGGGGGCCTCTGGAAAGCTTCTTGGAGGGCTCGCGGGGGCCTCTTGGGGAGTGTATTGGGGCAACTTGGGGCCGCTGTGGCGTCAAGGATGCTGGACGTTGTTCTCCTTCCCGAGGTTTGGACGGGCGTGGGGCCCCTCCAGGAGCCCTCGTGGGACCCTCTTCGGGCCTCCCTGGGGCAGGGCTGAACCTATACGGTGCTTTTCGTTTTCGTTTTGCTTTCGTTTTCCCTCGCTTCTGCCTCGACTCTGCCTTTACCGCAAAACGAAGCCGAAACGAAAACGGCCCACGAACTCACCAAAAACCGTTTTTGAGTGCAGGGCCTGCCCTGGGGAGCCAGTCAGCCGCGCTGGGCACCTCGTGGGCTTCGGGGGCAGAGGCAAGGGGGCCACTGGCATGTGGATATCCCTCTGGCTCTGAAGGCTGCTCGCCTCACGAGGGCCATCCTGAGGCGTGCTTGGGGCCAGCTCGGGCCGACCTCAGACAAGCGCGTTCCACTACTCGCAGAGTAACTGCTCGCAACTGGCCTGGACCCGCCGCGGGGGACCTACGATACGCTACGTCGAGGCAGTAAACTATTTTTCGGGCGTCTGCGAGCAGGCACCTTGCGAGTAGTGGAACGCGCTCGCGGAGACCTGGGGGACTGCCTGGGCGCGTCTCGTCAGGTATTGCCTCGCCAGATCGTGCCTCGTCATGGCTTGTCCTGTCCAGCCTGGTCTCGCCCTGTCCGGTCGTCGTGGGCCGCCTTTGCGGTGCCTTGGGCCGTCCGGGAGGCCGTGGCTTGCCGGGGCCAGGGCCAGGCGCTGAGTGGATGGGTCCGCACGCCCGGTAAAGCCACTCCGGAAGACGTCGCGCCAGTCTGGCCACGTGAAGAGATGCCATCCTGGGGCCATCTCGATGCCCTCTCTTGGGGGGGGGGCCTCTTGGGGCCTTTGGGGGACTTCTGGAAGGCCTCATGGAGGGCCAATGGGGGGCGTTCGGGATGCCTCTTGGCGGCCTTGGGGGGGCCTATTGCGGGCGTCTGTGCGCCTCTCGTGGGCATCTTGACATCTCCAGGTTCGTACAGTCTGGGGGGCCTCCTAAGGCCCTATTGGGAATCTATCAAGACTCTCCGAGGGGCCACTCATCCTGCCTCCTCCCAGCTCGTGTCTACGCTCCCTCTCCACCCATGTCTTCACCGTTTGATGCATCATTCCTCCAATCGGCGCTAAAGAAACCGTTCCAGCTCCTCGCGGGGACCAGGCATCAAGGAACAAAAGGGTGATGAAGAGGAGAAGCAGCAAGAGGAGAGACAGGCGTAGGCAGGCCCACACTTTTGGCGACGCTCCCAGGGGGGAAAATGAGAAGGGGCTTGCCTTCTCAAAAGACGGCCGGGCTTCTCATAAGCCCTCGCGCCTTCCGATAAGCCTTATGCGTCGTCGGGGAAGGCCCAGAAAGCCTCTCAGAAGGCCCGAGGCCTTCCGAGCCTTCTGGGAAGGACCGTCCCCTTTCTCTCACTTCCCCCCCTGGGCTCGCCGCCGACACTTGAGCGACGTAAGAGACGGGTCTCACGCGAGACGACATGGCGACCTTGCGCCGCAGCGTACGCGGGCCGCCCGTCTGGCACGCTGCATTGGAAACGAGGGCACCTAAGCGAGCCCCTACGCGGCGAAGACGACCCTGATTTCTTCCGCGGCTCACTGAAGGGGCTCCAGGACACACAAATAAATACACACAAATAAAAACATTCCCCATATTTTCCCATATTTTCTGGGTTTCTGTCTTCCCCCCCACTTCCCAGATTTTCCCATATTTTCTGGGAAATCGAGGATTAATTGTGTCTGTGTGTTTTTTCCTCTCCTGACTCACCTGCAGCCAGGTTCCCCCCGAGGAGCACAGCGAGGGCCCCCTCGACAGGGGACCCACCGGTCACCGGATGGGCCGGCGCGGGCTCTCGAGGGGCAGAGGCTTAGGCTCCTCCTCCTCCTCCTCCTCCTCCTCCTCCTCGATCCTCCTCGATCCTCCTCGATCCTCCTCGATCCTCCTCGATCCTCCTCCTCCTCGATCCTCCTTCTCGGTCCTCCTCCTCCTCCTCCTCCTCCTCGATACTCCTCCTCGACCCACCTCGATCCTCCTCCTCGACCCTCCTCCTCGACCTTCCTCGATCCCGCCGCATCGCTGGCGCATCGCCGACGCTCTGGCGTTGGCAGGCCTGGATTTAGTGCGACCTGGTTTATCCTGAGATACTGGGGTATCGATTCTGTTCGAGCTGGGCGTTTTCGCACAGTGTCGGACCAGTGGGCCATCACATATCGAGTCAGCTTGAAACATGGCGCAGAAAGATGGGGTCTAGAGCTCTGGTCATGATTGTCTACGCTGCTTCCTTTTTGTTCCACGAGGTCAGGGACCCGTTCCACTAACCAGGACTGCCGCCACACGAAGAAGCACCAGCTACTAGGGGGCAAACAAACCTACCTCGCTTTTGACCACCCTCGCTTCCAAGAGATACCAAGCGATGCCAAACCACGGCATGTACTGGTCAGGCGGCTTGACGAGGAGGCGTATGGTATGACTTTGGTTTTGCCTGGAAGCGAAAGCGGGGTAGGTAATTCACGCTCTGAGCTACAGCAAGCTTGGTCCAATGACTCCGGTCCACTGTTGGGGCTGCGAGGCCCCATCACTGACCGGCTCCCCTTCTCGGGGGACCTGGCCAGCTCCGAGATGCACTGGCGCTACACTGGCGACGTGCGCGACGCATCGGAACAACAGCGGCGACGATGCATCGGCGACGTCGTCGTGGATAAATGGGGCTCCACGCCGAGCCGCATCGCCGATGCACTGGCGATTCAGCGCGATGCACCCACCCCGCCTGCCTCGACCCTGTCTGGGCGGCTCGGAATGGGGGAGGCCCTCCCCCTCCTTCTTTCGGACATTCCGCGCCCCAACCTTCCGCCCCAGTCTCGATGCGATCCATGCAGGCTTCGCTGAGTTCCATGAATTTCGATGAAGTCGCCCGCACCCTCCGCGGAGGTCGGAAGGTATGAAAGGTGGAGGTTTCGGAAGCAAAAGCAACTACTGGGAGGTTTTCGCCGGAAAGATTAAAAAGGATTGAGCCCCATTTGGGAGCTGTTACGCCAGAATGGGTTTCGGACTAAGCAGGACTAAGCTGGATTAAGCGGGATTAAACGGGATCAAGCCGGATTAAGCGGGATTAAACTGAATCAGATCGGATTTCGGACCAGGGCAAAATCAGAATTTGACCTCCCAGGAATTGCATCCTAAGTGGATGTGGCGAGGGGGGCGGGCATGAAACGAGGAAAAGAGGCCCGCCCGGCAGGGCGCGTTCTGCGCGGGCCGCTCTGGCCCGGCCGCCGGCGGGCGCGAAGGGAACACTAACAAAAAACAAGACTAAGCAAAACGGCGCAGCGGAATCGGGGGGGGTGTCGGAGGGAAGGGCTGGCGAGGCCGGCCCGGCGGCCCTCAAGCGCACGAGGGTCCGCGGCGAGCGGGGGGGGGGACGCGGACAGGAGGCCCCCTGAGAAAGCGGCGGGATCTTGTCCGAAATCTTCGCGCCTTCTGGGAGGTGCTCTGTGTATTTGGGGAAAGCTTAGAAAACTTCCCAGAAGGCCGGGATAATTTGGGGTTTTCTGAAAAAAATCTTCCTTTGCTCACTTCCCCCCCTCGCTCGCCGCCGAGAAGCGCTGGCAACAAGGAGGAAACCACTTACAGCACGTCGCGACAGCAACATCGACACGGACAAAGCGGATCGCAAGATCCGCCACCGTGCCCCCCGGCACGCTGAGGCGCGGTAGGATGCCAAAAGCTGCCTGGCATGGTTCCTGCGATCTCCTGACCCAGACCCCGGACGTTGCGATTTGCTCACAGCATCGGACCCTTGAGGTCTCGGCCCGCTCCCTGGGACCGGCTTATCATCCGGAGTCGCTGTTTGACGGCCCCAAGGCCGGGCGAAGGCCCAGGGGGACCGACAACGGCGCACAACCATCCGTCCTGACTTTGCTCACGGCGCGAGCACGTCCGGGGCAGGGTTTCTTCAATCTCCTAAGGGACTCGAAGAAGAAAGCCGCCATAAACTAAATTTCTGGCGTTCCGCGCGAAATTTTGGATCTCCGCTGGACCCCCCCCCCTGTCGCGCGGAACGCGAAAGGGATGGCGCTGGAGGCGCCGCGAGGGGGGGCGGGGGCGAAGCACGGATCAACAAAACCCGCGGGGGGCACCAAGACCTGATGCTTATGGCGATATTTCCTCTTCAACTTCAATTTCCCCAGGGGCGCCCCTACCCTCCCGAAGCGCCCGCGCGCCTGCGCCACCATCACCCCGAGCAGCGCATGACAGAAACTGAAGGGCCTGCACGCCTGATGCCACGACGATTATGAGAAATGCTTTTGCGTAACACAAAAGCACGTCCAATAATGGAGAACGGAGGAAGCCTCAGACCTCTCATCTTCAAGATAAAGGAAGATGTTATTCGAGCTTTCTCGTCTTCCTCATGTTTGCAGGCCTCGTGTATTCTCCACATGCCTCCCACCTGCCCATTCTCCTACAAGCACCGCGATACGCGCATCTACCACAAAGCCCACGAGCACCGCGGAGACGGCGGAGAGAACCGCAAAACTCGAAAATCTGCAAATTGAAGGGGACACGTCGGCGAACAAGCGCTTTCACTGCAGAGGCATCCAAGCACGCGGTAGCTAGCAGCTACTCTGGGAATGCCAGCGAGCAGCCAGCCTAGGGCGAGAACGAGGAGCAGAGGGAAGAGACGACGCTTGATGGCGAGCAGCCATCTTGAGAAGCAGCACGGGTTCAGGCCGATATCCATTCCTCTAGCTCGCCCCTGTCTGGGGCGAGAAGAACAATCACAGCGTTTTGAGGCAGTTCTGAAGCAGCATTGGCACAACTCTTGCAGCTATTTTTGAATGGCTTAGACGGTGCATCGCCAGTCCGAGCAATTGGTCGGCCGTCAACCATGCACGCCCGCATCACCGAGTTCACGTTGCCCACCTGGCCCACGCGCGGATCCACGCATTCGTGCGAAAGCCAACTTAGCAAGGACGTTTCGCTGATAGCGCAATGTCAATTGACATGATCTGCAATAATGCAATTTAGTTGATTGTTCGTTGCTACGGCAAGCAAACCGCCATCGATCACGCATGCCAAATAACAAATAGGATTCGACGCTCGAAGAACAAGATTTTCAATTGGCTGTCAAAGCGATACCTGCCCCCATCCTTTCCCCATGCTCGCGCGCGCAACATCACCCCTACAAGCTACTGTCGAATGCATCGTCTCGAACACTTATCCGAATGACTTCTATAACGCCCCTCTGCGGTTCAAGACAACATTTCGGTTGAGGGGGCGGAGCACTTGTGGTTGGGCACTCTTTGACTCTGCTTCCCACCGTCGCTTTCTGCAACCGAATGCCACATATTTGGATCGCGCTGCTTGGTCTGCCTCGAGATTCGATGTTGGCTCTGCTTCTTCAGCGGCACGCCCGTCTAAGGGTTGCCCACCAAGTTCTGAAGTGAATCCTCCAAGCGCAACCTTGTCCTCGTTGTCGTCTGGAGACGAAGACAACCATGAACGATCCTCGAGTTTCGCCCGACGCCTGCCAGCCCATGAATTTATATGTCGTCTAAACACGGGCATCGAAATGCCCCGGCGCGGGCGCGCGCGAAACCGACTATATAACCATATAACATGTGTTGTTTCCTTGTTTGGTTTAACAAAAAATGAAAAACAAAATGGGCCGCCGCCCCCACATGCATGTCCCAACGCAGACGAAGATTGAAGGAACTCGTTCCCCACTGCGCCACCACGCCACCTGGTTTCTCAGCGCCATACAGCCTCTTGTTGACCTTCAATCCGCGCTCAGGCCTCAGGCTCTGGCCAGATCCGGCATCTGCGAATGCACGCGGGCCAAGGGCCCACGCTGCGAACGAGACGGCGCAAACCCCCCAAAGCGCCGAAGGGCGAAGGAAAGAGAAAGAGAGAAAGAGAGAGAGAGAGAGAGAGAGAGAGAGAGAGAGAGAGAGAGAGAGAGAGAGAGAGAGAGGGGGGGAAAAAATATCCTGGCGAAGGACCCAACCATATGCAATTGTGAATAACGCTTTGTGGGTGCCGTTTTCGTTGGGGCTCCTTATGGGGCCACGAAAGGCGTGCTGCGAAACGCTGCCCTGGGCGTGCTGGACGCATGCGGGCGGTCGCACTGGGGCCTTCGGTGGAGCTCCCTATGGGGCCGCGAAACGTGAGAGGGGTGTGCCGAAATGGGTGCGGCGCCGCCATGCGAACGCAGCCACTGGGGCCTTCGGTGGAGCTCCCTATGGGGCCACGAAACGCGTGAGGGGTGTGCCGAAATGGGTGCGGCGCCGCCATGCGAACGCAGCCACTGGGGCCTTCGGTGGAGCTCCCTATGGGGCCCGCGAAGCGTGTGAGGGGTGTGCCGAAATGGGCGCGGCGCCGCCGTGCCAGCGCAGCCGCTGAGGCCTTCGGTGGAGCTCCCTATGGGCCACGAAGCGTGCGAGGGGTGTGCCGAAATGGGCGCGGCGCCGCCGTGCCAACGCAGCCACTGGGGCCTTCGGTGGAGCTCCCCATGCGGCCGCGAAACGTGTGAGGGGTGTGCCGAAATGGGTGCGGCGCCGCCATGCGAACGCAGCCACTGGGGCCTTCGGTGGAGCTCCCTATGGGGCCACGAAACGTGTGAGGAGTGTGCCGACATGGGTGCGGCGCCGCCATGCGAACGCAGCCGCTGGGGCCTTCGGTGGAGCTCCCTATGGGGCCACGAAACGCGTGAGGGGTGTGCCGAAATGGGCGCGGCGCCGCCGTGCGAACGCAGCCACTGGGGCCTTCGGTGGAGCTCCCTATGGGGCCACGAAGCGTGTGAGGGGCGTGCTGACATGGGCGCGGTGACGAGGGAGGGGGCAGCGGGGGGAAGGAAGGAAGGAGTGAACGCGGGGCGCTGTCTCTTCAAAACGAGGACCCAACACCACAGGACGGTTTGGAATAGTGAGAACAGGGGGGACACATGCCGTTGAAAGCAAACAAGCAAAAAAACTGGAGCAGCGGAAGATCATCGACCCGCAAGCTCCACGGATCACTTGGATTTGTGCTAAGGAATAAAAGCAAGAAGCTCGAATCATAAGCATAATGATCCCCCCGCGCTCTGTTTCTCAGTTTCCTAGTGTCTGATGCCAGCGCCGTCTGGAGTCTGACTGCACACGAGCGCGGGTGGGCAGAGGCACGGCGGCGCACACTTCACCCGATATGAAGGAATGAAAACGGCTTGGGTGAGGCCACGGGGAGCCGAAAAACTAATTACGAGCGCGCATGCATCATTCACGTACAACTCACATGATCCCCCCCGCGCTCTGTTTCTCAGTTTCCCAGTGTCTGATGCCAGCGCCGTCTGGAGTCTGACTGCGCACGAGCGTGGGTGGGCAGAGGCACGGCGGCGCACACTTCACCCATATCACCCATAACATGATGTGTCACCTACTTTGCTGTGTTGGGAGGAGTGGCTACACGCTTGCCACGGGCGCTGAACGAAAGCGGCGGCGGCTGCACCGCGCGGCCTCTGAGGATCGAGTCCTTGAGCGTGTCCACCTGCTCCTCCAACCAGCAGCGCAGCGCCAGGGGAAGCAGGGCGTAGCCTTTCATCATCATGCCTGACTTCTCGTAGCGCTGCACGCTTTTGGTAGACATCCAACCACCACGACGTTGCACTTCGTACAGGTTGCGATGCTTTGTATATATATATATACGTATATATATATGTATATATATATATATATCCCAGGAAGCGCCCGCATGGCGCAACTGGTAAGGTACAATAGCTTGGCCGAGCAGTCGGCCTTGCTTACGGATTTCACGCACTAACTCTGGATAGGTAAACCGCCACAGGCTCTCATTTCGTTTTCCGACGGCTAGAATCTGAAGAACTTCGCCCATCCATTCAAAACCCTGAGTGTCCCACAAGATGGTGTCGTCCTGGGTTCCCACCTTCGAGACCTGGTGGAGGTCTGACTTGTGTGCGAGCACACGCCACATGGTGTCGACCTTCATGGTAGGTGGGACCAGACAGCCCCTGGTGAGCTGCATCATAGAGCCTGGGCGCAGGTAGGTGCAGAAAGCGATGATCGCCCAGATGGCCATGTCCAGGTGCCCCTCGTAGGCAAGCAGCGCGGCCAAACCTGCGACCGCCGGCAGGGTCAAGGGCTGTCGACTGCGCGGTGGGTCCAGCTTGGCCCAGCCCCTGGCAGCCCGCCAGGCTCGCGGAAGAGAAAGGTCGCCCACCTTGCCAAAACGAGGTTGGAAGAACACCACGGCCGCGATCAGCTTCTGGCCGATGCCCGCGTCGTAGCCCAGCATATACATGTGGGTCATGAAGGCGACGATGGCCACGTCGAAGTCCTGCACTTTGTCGGTGTTCAGCTTGCGCTCGTCGACGTAGTCCACCAGGCCTCGATATAGCTTTCGATATTGCGCCCAGGCTCGCTCTCCTACCGAGCTTCGCTCTAGCACCGAAACGTGTTGCATACCTGGCTCATTTGCCATCCTCGCATGGTGGATCTTGCGCCTCAGCACGCGATCCTGCACGAGCGGGTTGCCATCCTCCTCCGAGGTCGTGCCGTCCGAAGCTCCCAGACGGCTGGCGTCCCTCTCCGCCTCCTCCAGCAACACGGGCAAGGGGAGGCGATCGCGTCGCTGTTGTAAAGTAGCCTGCCACCTCTTCTCTAGTGGCAGCGGGTCCGTACGACGAAGAAGCACACGAACTTCCCTCTCCTCCGTCGGAGCTGCTCTTTTGGCCT